AAAAAAACATTTGTAAGTATGAATATACGCATTTATAAATTTTTTTTAGCGGCAACGCTATTAATTTCAATTGATATAAAATTGCTAAACAACAGAACATATGAATGTGTCAAGTGACAATTGAGGACTCTATTTCTCAATTAAGGGTACAAACCAATGTGTTGGATAATTTGTCAACTATCAAGCTTGAGAAGTAAAAGTGTAGCTTTTTATATACCCGTTTGTTATGTGTACCTACATCGTATGTGCAAAATTAAAGAAAAAAATTGCTCAGCAACAAAATGTAGCCTAGAGATGGGTGAACTAAGAAGGCCATCTTTGATCGGTGGGTGCAAGATTGAAGCATGGAATTTTACAGTAATATTTTCTGCGAACATAGTAATGATTTTCTTGTGAAGAAAAGCTCGGATTTGTATTTCATAATTTAAATTTAAACCTCATTATCACTTCTTTATTTTCACAGATGGAACAAAGACAACGGATATTACTACTTAATGCGACAATAAAGAAATCGCCGTGGCCTGGTATACAAATGTATTGATCAGTTACAGAATATTGAACAACATACATACATATATGATATATACTATTGATGTATGTAACTATATCGTCCGCGGTCAAAACGAAAACTTACGTTCTGTGGGATTTAATAAAGAAAACCAGTAAATATATGTTTGTATATTTTTTCAAAAATAATAGTAATTCGGGGCGTTAGGGTAATACTACTACTATATACCATTTTATCAAACCCTTTAATTTTTACCTGTAAGATATTTCAAATTTTCAAAAGCATGTTGTGTCCAGAAATATCTTTGTGAATTCTGAGCATTACTAGATCGGCAAGTTATGCTAAATAGTAGTACTTTTGAAACGGGCACTTCAATTGCGCCATCTAATCAATTTGACCTTTTAGTTCGAGATTCGGGTTCAATTTCGGTCTTGCTTTCGGTTTTATTTCAAGAGTAAAACAAGCTTTTGGGTTTCATCGGACATTACCACTAACTATTTGGTTTCCAAGATAAAAACTGAAAAAAAATGTTCTTTTTGAAAATTCGATTTCTCAAAGGGCCACTCCGATTAACACAAATTTCGGATATGTATTTCAAGGCCATATGAGCCACCTCTCCACCGTTCCGGATATGGCCGTGCAAACAAACCGACCTACTTCTTAAAATTTTCCACCATA